GAGATTGCGATTTTCTAACGATTAATCGTGCAGCCCTACTTTATAGTGAAGCACTTCCTGCTAGACAGGAATTATGTCTTTAGCACTAAATTCAGAGTTCGGTGTTTATGTGCGCTCGTTTCTCTCCTGAAATATAAAAGAAGCTTTTCTGCTTTTTTAAAAACACCTACCAGAGCACACAGGTTTTTTGAATGATTAAGTCAATGGGTTTTTGATGTTACAGTCTCAAAGGGCTAAAAAGAAATTCGTCATCATGGAGCCGAGTTGTCAAAAGTGGCAAAAGCCGCAGTTCCTGTAGCTGCCACTTGAGGCTGACTCCAAAATTGAGTCTCTTCTCATACAGTGTAAATTTAAAATCAGCTGTGAAGATGTCGTGTTTATAGACCAGTGAAAACACAGCTTGGGTGTCTATGGATAGTTTCCACTTACATAACAACCGTGTGTGACATACAGGTGGATACCTCCACACTGTGAGTTTGGTGTTTGTGTCATTTTGGAACATTTTTAACTGAATTATGTGACAGTTACGGGACATGCTGAGGTCTGAGCTCCAGTTTGAAGTCAGTGAAATAGTGACATTTTATTTGCATGTTACTCAGCATTATTTAGCAGACATAAGCAACACGCCGGTGGAGAAAGCACTAAACGCACGTGTTAACACACCTGCTGACGCCCAGGGGTCAGCCGGCTGGCTGAAAAGCTTGTTTAGTTTTTCCTGCATTTCCTTCTTGCCTCTTCCCTCGTCCTCCTTCTCTTCTGTCGATCCTGCTCCCTTCCTGACCTCTTGCTCCTCCTCCATCCCTCTCCTTTTCCTCTCCTCCTCTTCCTGCGTCACTCTGTTTAGCCATGCGTGGGATGCAGGAACGGAGGCGGGGCTTGGAGCTTGCGGAGCAGAGCCTCCTGCTTCCTCCTTCCAGGTGGCACCTTCCTCTGACGACAACCTGTGAAATAAGATCATTAAAACTCTGATTTTGGGGCAAGTTTAGCGAAACTTTCCAGCAGTTTTTAAACTGGATTTGAGAAGCAATTCCATAAACACAATTTTAACCACTCAAATTAAAGTTAATTTGTATAATGCTTCAAAACAACCACAGAAAAAATGGCCCAGGTGGCTGCTGAGTGACTGCCTTTTGCATTTTCTGGTACTGCATCCTCTCCACTTGACTCTTACCTGCCCTCCTGCAGCTC